GGGGGTAGAGGGGTCGTTTGTGTCCATAAGTGGCGTATAGATAGGGAGACAATGTTGATGTTGTTCAAAATTGGCCTATGTACGGAGACGCAAGGGAAGCGAGTCATCGTGTGTTTGATAGGGACTTCATGAGAGATCTAGAATAGATGGTGTAGAGAACAACGTGCGAGATTGAGAACGATGATACATTAGGGATATATGGAAAGAGTCATGACATATATGTATACAGGGAAGGAGCTGGGGCGGGTCCGCATGTGGGAGAGATAGAAAGAGGAGAGTGGTGCACAAGGAGACAGATGTGCTTATTTGCAGTGGTGTGGTGTGTGAGGTGAGTGTGCGAGAATCACATAACTAGGGAGATAGACGCTTGGGGGCGACGTTTTGTGTGTATGCGAAAGATACACTCTACATCGTGCGTGTGCTTGGGAAAGAGAAATGCCGGGAGACCTAGAGAGTGGGGGAAGAGATGTGTGCATGCCCGAGAGACAAAGTGATAGAGACCTATATTGGGGTCCGGACTTTAGAAGAGAGGGGGTGTTAATGTGCTCGTGTGTTCGTGTTTGGGGGAGAGAACAACTTGTGTGTGTGTGGGGGGTGGCTTTAGATAAAGAGTGAGGTGTCTATATTTGAGCGACTTTAGCGTAATTAAGATATATATATATATCATTAACTTTTGTAATTCAATTAAACGGAGGTACATTTTTTATGCCGGGATTTCGTGATTTCAAATTCATATATCAATCCTAGAGATATACACATACAAGCATGTTCAAACTTTATAATCATCCACTTTATTCATATACATACACATTTTTGTTTTTGTCATCATATTTAGGATAAACACATTTGGAATTTCATTTGAATTGGACCGTACGATGGTATTTTCTCGTACTAGCTCAATGATCCATATTTGAATTGAATGGACAATCTAAGTTTCGAGTTGGAGACATTGATTTTCAAAACATGCACTTTCTTGTGTGCAAAACAAATAAATTCTCGGCCATGATATCATAGTCGGCCGTACAAGAGCAGAACACTTATAATTTTAGGCGCCAAAAGCTTTCAAACTTCCCGCTCACATCGAAATATCTCGCGCCCGAAAGTTTAGCCCTGCGATATTCATTGTTTTACCCCTGCCACATGAACGAAAAAGGGCTGCTTTGGTAACTCCATTGTTTTCCCCTCTTTGCCACCAACATTCTTCCCAAAGCCCCTCCCCTTCCCCTCCCCGACCCTAACCACGGCAAGCCGCCGAATCTAGTCCTCTGCCGCAGCAGTGGACCTCACACCCCACCGGATCTACATTCCGCACCTTGGAACCCCCAACTGCCAACTCACCACTTCACCGGAGCAGCTTCAGCGACTGGCTTGTCTACCGCTCCAGATCTCCTTAACCGCCATCCGGTCCACCGCACCGGATATTCTTAACCGACACCCTCGTCCACCACAGTGTAGGCCCTTCACTGACTCCCTCGTCCGCCCATCGCTGGCCCTTCATACAAGCCCTCGTCTGCCGCAACAGATCCGCCTCACCGAAAGCACTGTACACCGCGCCTGCTGAAGCCTTCGTCCACTGCACCGGACCCACTCCACGGACGTCATATTCAACTCCACCAGCCTTGCTTTACTGACGCCGCAGCCTCATCAGGTTATTTCGAGTTGTACTCCTTTAGTTTTTCTCTTCTTTATCGTGCAACTGTTCACTTACCATAGATGAACTTTCTTGTATGTCGACAGGCGCCGCAACCAAAGCACCGAAACCGCTTCAGCGACGGCAACAGTCGGCCCAAACTCAACCGCAACACGAGCACCATCGACGATCCTTAGTGATCATGTATGACAACGATACCCATACGCCGCCGAGAATCAGGTACTATTATCCAACGACCGACGCCTACGTTCACTTTCTTAGCATAAGCACCTGTCACGCCCAATATGTGATCCTATCAGAGAGGAACTCAAAGGTCCCACCAAGGATAGAGCCGCATATTGAAGATGCTTTGCAAGGTGGATATCATTACATCGTACCATTACATAATAGTTGGGGATACATACAAAGACATACAAATGCCACATGAATACATCAATATACCATACATGAGAACAACATCCGACTACGGATTTAACACAAAAAAGCTCAACAACATCACCCTGCTAGCCCAGGCTGCCCACCAGTAACCTATCCCTCAAATGAAGAAGAAGCATAAGAAGAACTCCAAAACAAGTAAACATCGCTCTCACGTCGGATCATTGCATTACCTGTACCTGCAACTGTTGTTGTAGTAATCTGTGAGCCACGAGGACTCAGCAATCGCATTACCATGGGTATCAAGACTAGCAAAGCTTAATGGGTATGGAATGGATAAGTGGTGAGGTTGCAGCAAGCGGCTAAGCAGTGTATGGTGGCTAACTTACGAGTATAAGAGCAAGAGGAGCAACTACGCAAACGGTCGCAAACTAGTAATGATCAAGATGTGATCTTAAACTACTTACGTTCAAACATAACCCCACCGTGTTCTCTTCTTGAAATCGCTCAAAAAGAGATGGTCACGGTTATGCACGCGGTTAGTGTATTTTAATTGAGTTTAGTTCAAGTCCACTACAACCGGATATTACAAATTCCCATCTGCCACATAACCGCGGGCACAACTCTCGAAAGTTTAAACCCTGTAGGGTTGTCCCAACTTAGCCCATGACAAGCTCACGATCCGCGGAGACAATCCTCCATCGCGGGACCCTCCGATCAGACTCGGAATCCCGGTGCACAAGACATTTTGACAATGGTAAAACAAGTCCTTCAAGACCTCCCAACGTGCCGACACCCTGATAGTAGCCGCGCGTATCTCGTCTCAGGCCACAACGGATGAGCGACGCGTACAGGTGCCAAAATAATCCAGGTTGCCCTGGGGCGGCCCCGCACAGTGCTCTCGTTTGGACCAACACTCATGAGGAGCATTCGCCCGGGGGTTGGTTAAGAATCCTCGGGTGCTAGCCGGTCCCTATGCAAGTTTTAATTCTTATTAGGCAAATGGTAAAACCAATGTTGGGCCTTGCTGGAAGAGTTTTATTCAAAGTGAACTGTCAAGAGGGGCCCATAAACCCTCATCATGTTAGGGACGCAAAATCAAGGAACATAACACCGGTATGACGGAAACTAGGGCGGCAAGAGTGGAACAAAACACCAGGCAAAATGCCGAGCCTTCCACCCTTTACCAAGTATATAGATGCATTAATTAAATAAGAGATATTGTGATATCCCATGATATCCATGTCCCAACATGGAACAACGTGCAACTGCACCTGCAACTAGCAACAGTACAAGAGGGGCTGAGCAAAGCGGTAACATGGCTAAACAAGGGTTTGCTAGGATGGTGGAAAAGGTTAGAGGCTGACATGGCAATTTGGGAGGCTTGATAAACAAGTGGTGGGTAGCGCGACATAGAGATAGCATCGAGACAACTAGCATAGCAAAGACAATAGTGAGATCCAAGGTGACGGTCATCTTGCCTGAAATCCCGCTAGGAAGAAGAATGAGTCCATGAAGAATACGATCCCACGTAGTCGAACGAATCCTCACAATCGCAACATAACTGGAACAATTGAGAAGAAGCACAACCGGAAAGAAGCAAATAACATGATAAACAACCATCACAGAAACATTGCATGATGCTCAACCAAGTATGATGCATGTCCGGTTTAATGAGTCATGGCATGCCAAAGTGCAACAAACAATACTATAGATTAAGTGGAGCTCAATATGCAACGAGTTGCATATAGATGAAACGTCACATTCGATTATTTAATTCTCTCCCGTTTATGTACCCAACAATATTAAATGTTGTTAAACATGGCAAGAGGTGAAACATAAGTAAACTAACTATTCAGGCAAGTTTAAATGAGGCGGGAACAACAAACAACAATTCCGTAAAATCCTCAGATGCAATATTCGGAGTTGGTACTGTTCTGCCCTAAACCATATTTTAGAGTTGTTAAGCAGGCAAAAGTAATGCCATCATGTTAAACTATTCATTTTTCTACCCCATTTACATATAAAGTTTATTTAATTCGGAGCTACGATAATTTAGTTATGAAATAAACCATTTTAACATGTCATTTATGCAACACCAAATTTTAACATTTTAAACATGGATCAAAGTTGCAGATTATGAAAGTACATGAAAATCTGAGCATGATGCATATATGACATGTTTCATGGATGCATGGATATTTAGATACGAGCACTACAAAACAGTGGCAAAACTATAATTATGCAATGCACTGGAAAATAATGAAATCCACAGGCAGAGGGAAAAAATGCACGGGCCAGAAGCATTAGAGTGTAGCGGCCAGAAGTGGAATCGGCCCAAGTGTGCGTGTGTGCAAAAGAAAGAAAAAAGGGGGTGCCTGGGAATCGAACCCACAACCTCTCCGTTTAAACCGAGACTGCTAGCCACTGCGCTAGCCTGGTGTTTGTAATATCTAGGGGGTCCGGCTTCTGTTGTGTAGCTGGGAAAAGAACAACATTCAAATACAAAACAAAGAAAAAGGGTACCACCTAGGATTTGAACCCCAGATCCCCGGATATGCGCAAGGTGTGCTAACCACTGCGCTGCTACAATACTGGTGTACAATGAGGGTTCAAACTTAGATGAACTGAAGAAGGCTGGGGCTTTCTTCTTGTGGTGGACGACTGATTCTCATCGGTGACAGGAACAAGCAGCGGCGACTGCTGCGGCTACCAAGCGCCATCGGGGGTGCGGAAAAGGCTTGCGGTGGCTGCGATGGGATGTGCACATGATGTGTGTGCTATGAAGGAAGGGCACATGGGTGTGAGGAGCTCGAGCACCTCATCCATGGCGTACAGGATGCAGTCGGCAGATGCAATCGGGGCAAGGCGAGGCCCTTGCGCGTGCACTCGCATGCATGGGTATGTGCGTGTGTGGAGCAGGCGCTATGTGCTAGGCGAGGCTGGAGGCGGACAGAGAGCTAGGCGCTCTGTTTCATCCGCATGACGAGAGCGCGGCGACTGGTCTTCGGACACGAGAAGGACACTGATATACGGCGAGGAAACCAATAGGGTTACGAGGCATGGAGGAGCGGCTGCTCACCATGGGGGTGCTTGCGAAGACAGATCGGATGGAGAGATGACGGAGACGACGAGGGAGCTCGCTGAACTTGATGTTTCTCTGCTCCGTGAAGAAGACGAAGTAGACGAAGAAGAGGATGTCGTGGAAGAAGACGATCGCGTCGCCCGTGTCAACATCTGGCTCCTGGCATGCTTGTAGTCGATGAATACGCCATCGGTGAGCCAACCATGAGCGAGGACAACGACGGAGGAGGCTGTGGCTGCGGCAGAGCCATGGGAGTGCTTCGGAAGCTCTCTGGTGGAAGGGGGCGATGGCTATGGTGGCGTGGCGTGGCTTGGACCTACTAGGTGGCGGCGGCGGCACGGAGAGGGTAGAGGGAAACCCTAGGGTGCCCGTCTGGGGCTTTATAGGAGGAGCGGGCGTGGTCGCCGTGGCCACGGTGGCCATGTGCCCTCATCCAAAGTTTTGCTATGTGAGGGTCTTTTCGTGGAGGAGGAAGAAAGGGGAAGGGGAGAGAGGCTGCCAGGCAGGCCCAGGGGGTGCAAAACTGCCATGCTGGCCTAATTACCAAGGGAGGCGCTGGTGGGCTCCTGGTTCGGCCCGGCTGGGTTCGAAGGAGGAGGACAAGTGTGATGCGGCTGGGAGAGCCTTTTCCCTTTATTTCTTCTTCTAAAAATTTAAATCTCGAGGTTTAGAAAAGGAAAAGGCCAGGGAGTTTGGAAAGGAATATGAGGGATATAAACATATCCATGTATTCCTAGATTTATCCTGTATTTGAATAAAATGTCTTGGCAATTTTTAGAGACTGCAAATTCAAACAAGTTTGACAATAATTCAAGCTTGAATAAATCCTTAGACCAACCAAAACACTTCCAAAAGACTTGAAAACTGGAGGTGGTGGTCTTGGCATGGTGTAGGGAATATAGAAATATAGTGAACATTAATCTGGAGCAGAAAATGCCACTAGAGAAATAATTGAAAGAAAGGGAAAAGGAGAAGTTTGGATGGGATAGAAACTTGGGTGAACTTGATGAATGGTTGCTGGTATGTGCATGGTGAAATAATGAGGTGGAGATAAGAAGAAGAGGGTTTCACACAAGAACACACAACAAAAGTTAAATAAGCAAACCAAGGCATGATGATCATGATGCGATGCAATAAAATGACAAGAGGAACATCAAAATCATGAAGCATATAACAAAGCAAGATGATCATGGAAACAACAAGGATGGCACAATGCAATATAATAAAAGATGAACATGATGTAAGAAGCCAAATAACAATGGCACTCAACATGATCATGGCATAAACATATAGGAATGAAATATGCAAAACAATTATGATAATGCAACAAACATAATAAACACACGACAACAACTAAAATAAATGGAAGGGATCTGGAGCATCAGTCTGGGGGCATCACATCACCGCACCTTTGAATTTCCTCAGGGCATCATTCAATTTTTCATGAGATGCATTATTCTGCTTGCACCTGTAGGGCCATACTTCTGGCAGTGAACATGTTACATGTGCTAAATTACATGCCATTGCACATATAGTTAATATGCTTTAGTTTTGTCCTAAGTATTACTGTACTTCCTAGATATCACTGCCTACTATTTTACTTCTTTCATGCTATATTTATGATAATGGTGTTGTTCTGATGCCACATGTTGGTTCCATCAGACTTCTTCATGTCCTCTATGCTTAATTACACATCAGCAAACTAGCATGTGGTTTCCGCTGCTTTTTGTTCGTTTACCCTACATTTTCTGGTGCTAGCTATTCCATCACTACTCCGAGCCTCTTTTCATTACTTTTTTGTGTGTTCTTGATCTTCCCAAGTTGCATGACTAATTTGATGCTTCTATTAATTATGGAGCTGCCAACCCCATCAAGCAAAATATTTGTTCTTTTGGGGTTGGCACCTCGAACAAGCATAAAAATAGAGTGAAGCAGATATATTATCATGTAAGCACACACCCTTCTTTCATTAGTTTAGGTGAACCATTGTTGATCAATTCCAATCAGTGCATGCGATTAAAATTAATTTTACCTAAATAGTGGGTGCAGAATAAACTACAACAACTAGATTTGCAACCACGGGATGCTGACGATATCTTCAAAGAACATTGCAACAACAGCGAGGCTTCACAGCAACATATGGTAAGCCAGTGTATTTTAGTGCATGTGAAATGTAATGCATGTGAGCTGCTTTCTTGGCTTGTGCCCTCAACCTGTAATCCTACAGAATTACAAATAGTTTAGTTGTCTGCTTTGCTGTATTGCTTGATTCGAATGCTTGTTTGTTTCATGTTAGGCTATACCTGAGTTGGCCAATATGTCAGCGATGCCTGTTGCACTATCATAAATAAATGCATGTCTAGTTCATTTGAGTCCTTAACTTTTCCTTTGAACTTCATCACCAGACTGTCTTCGTAGTTTATATGAGGCCGCACTGTTAAGTGCTTTCTCAAATTATTTCAACTTCTTAGATGCCTTGGCAACTTAAATATAGCGGTGGTACACTCCCTTTCAACTAGGGATGTCAACTGGGTCCCGTTTAATCCTGATTAAAGTCCACTAGTGGTATGATAGTTCAAAAGAGTTTTTTGTTTTTTGAGGAAAATAAACTAGGGAGCTAGCAAAAACTAACTAGATGGGACTGGCGAATGTCGTTTATTTGCCACTTACATCCCTAGTTTCATCTTACCATTTTAATTTCCTTTCGGCTGATGCTGCTTCGAACCATTTAAATATAGCTTGCCATGCTCGGCAATAATTCATATGTCGTTTACCATGTAAGCTTACTGCCTGGATCATGCGATAACTATCTCTTACTTATGTCCAGCGGAAACCTTTCAGGATGCCGTTCACACTAGGACACAATGTACAACCCCAGAATCTATTTGTGGAAGCAGTGCGCCATCCATGTTACCATATGGTAGTAGTTTAGAGGCAACGCCACCGGAGAGCTGTCTGAGCACAGATATTATAGTTCTTGCGGCTCTACTGGAGGCAGAAAGAGATGGTGTGGCTGCCATGAATGAGGTAATCTTGATCTTGAGGCTGGAAATTATGCAAGTAGCTGCACACATTATGCAAGCAACCCAAGAATTGGAGGAAGTAAGAATGTTGCATTTGAAGACGGAGGAGGTCCTGCTGTTTCTGCTATGTGAAGCCCAGGGTAATCCCAGTTCTTCATTAGATACCAGTTGAAATTGTCATTAGATTATTGTACTTGCATGTTCTATCATGTCTCTGAATGGATTATGTTGTAAGACCCCCTATGTTGTCCATGTGTTGTAATGCTCCGATTTTTTTAGGCGAGGTAATCCTCAATACTTGTATGATTGACATAAGGTGAACTGTTTTTCGTGTGAGCGTTTTGTATTGGATGAAATAACTGTTTGACTCAAAGTGTATCCAACCTACTGAATTCGAAGATCATGGCATTTCTAAATCATAATCATATATAAAGGTGGAATAAATCTTTGTTGTGGTTTTGAAGAAATAAATAACAAAACATAGAATTATCTGTGGATATACGTAACCGAATACAAATTGGATTTGAATTTAGTTGCCAGGGCCCATGGCAAATGTGAACGCTAATTCTCCCAAGTGTTGAATGAAGTGGCTAAACACCCACTATCATTTGTGGGCTACCCAAAGCAAGTGTTTGCAAGATGGAAATTACTGTCTACCCTTGACATCCTTATCGGCTGGATTTACACTGCTGTCGATAGGGGTAGACTAATAACTTCAATTGGACGTGACACGACCGCCTCTGAGCCCATTCTGACATGGTGGGCGCCAAACGTGGGCAGCAAAACAAATTTGATTCAAGCTCGTCCGAAAGACATGTATCTCTCCCTCCATTTCCCCATTCATACATGGTGGGCGACAAAACAAACTCTCCTCGTCTGAAATCGATGTAGGCAAATATTTTAAATAGGGGCAGATGTGTAACTTCCCTCAGACGTGACAAAACTGCCCTACCTGTCAGCCCCGTTCATACACCATGGGCGGCAAAACACCCTCTCCTCGCCCGAAATCGCTACCGGCAAATATTTGGGAGATGCGAGATTACCGTCCTATCCCCAGCCGACGTCATGTCCAAAATTTTAAACGGGGGATAAGTTTGTAACTTTCCCACATTTCAGACAAGCGCGTCCCAAAGTTTGAGATCCCCCTCCCCCTCCATTTCCCCATTCATACACCGTCAGCGCCACGACAACCTCCCCACTTCGGCCAGCCTCCTCCGTCCGCCACCCCATCCTACACCTTGCCGGAGCCGCTACCCCTACCCCGTCGTCCACTACAAGAGATGGAAATCTCTCATCAACGCCGGACCAGGATCCTTTCATCGCGTCCTCTCGCTTCATCGGCGCCGTCGTTCACCTTGCCGTTGCCGCTCCTACGACCGCCTCATCCACGACAATAGGATTTATCCCCTGACCCGGCCGTTTGCCGTCTAAAGTCTTCTTCCCCACCGCCAACAACCATCGCACCCGCAGCACGCTCAACGTATCAGTAGGGGCCTACATGGTGTCGCAAGAGAGGTGGTACTCTTCCATATGTGCTTAAGTTATTGATCTCACCCGGAAAATAGATTGTAAATTGTTTACTGTACTTTTCTTGTCTGTACCAAATTGTAGTGTCTAGTTGAAAGAAAACATTGGTTGCGAAGTAGCTTTGTCTGGTTTGCACCTTCAGATCCGCCATGGCACGAGCACTATACTCATAAAGCTTATGGTTTCCCCCTTTATATTCACTACCATCATCGTAGGTGCTTCGTGTCGTGCTAGCACTGCTCCTCAAGACTTCAACCCATCAAGCGAAACAACATGTTACTCATAATTTCAAAGCTTAGATGTTGAAATACGTATCTGGTATGATACTCATATCACTAAAACAGAGAATGTTCCTATATTCGTTTTGAAAAGCATGTGCGCCACCCACTGGTCCAGCTAGTTCCACTTTCCTGATTTTACTCTTGATGCTTAGGGTTTTCCCCTTTTATCTACTCAACTATGATCTGCGTAGGTGCTTTCTGTCGTACTAGCATTACTCCACCCTTCAAGCTAAACAACAGAACACTCAAAATTCCAAAGCTTTGATTGTGATATGTGATGACCCCCAAGTATAGGGGATCTATCGTAGTCCTTTCGATAAGTAAGAGTGTCGAACCCAACGAGGAGCAGAAGGAAAAGATAAGCGGTTTCCAGTAAGGTATTCTCTGCAGGCACTGAAATTGTAGGTAACAAATAGTTTTGTGATAAGATAATTGGTAAGGAGCAACAAGTAACAAAAGTAAATAAAATGCAGCAAGGTGGCCCAATCCTTTTTGTAGCAAAGGAGAAGCTTGGACAGACTCTTATATAGAGAAAAGCGCTCCCGAGGACGCATGGGAATTATCGTCAAGCTAGGTTTCACCACGATCATAT